CATTTGTATCTTCCTTTCATATTCTTCCTATATGAACTTCACCGTATACCAAATGGATATCAAGACGACTTTCTTGTACGGGAAGGTCAAGGAGGAGATTTACGTTGACCAACCACCCGGTTTCGTTATATCAAACCTTCCCAACCATGTTTACAAGTTAGACAAAGCTCTGTATTGGCTACATCAAGCTCCTCGAGCTTGGTGTGCTACCCTAACTCAACATTTGCTTAACCACGACTATTACCGAGGTACCATTGATCAAACCTTATTTATCAAACATGTCAGTCCGGATCAAATTCTTGTTCAAATCTATGTGGAAGACATTATTTTCTGTGACAACCCAAAATGTATTCCGTCATTTTTAACCCCTTCTTTCGTTAATAAGCCTCGTATATTTAACTGTCCGTTAACTTTTGGATTGGTTAATTAAAATGGGACTTTGTGAATGACTTTATGAAGGTTGAAATAAAATAGAAACACCCACAAAATACCCTTAAATATGTTTAGTTTCAACCTAGTCAAAAATTCAACCACTAAATCGGGTGTGACCAAAAGCCTTGTTTAACGGCAGTATTGTTGGATTAGTGTCTAAGTCCATAACTATTTTGGTATGTACTTGACCCAACGGTGTATGGTCCTTTTGGGTTGCCTTCATCAAAGCAACTTGATAGGATGAATTATGGAGAGAAAGGATTAAATATGATTAATTAATATATTATGAGAATAATATATTAAATGAGAAATCATATTGTTTAAATTAATATTAGTCAAGAATTAATTGGTAATTAGTTTTGTGACTAAAAGAGATTAATTAAACTTAAGGGACTTGAATTGTAATTGTAAGATAATTGCAATTTGGGCTATGGATTGCCTTATATTAAGGAGTGGACGAATTCTATGGGAAAGCCCATGAGGAAATCGTCCAAGGCCTTAAGGAAAGGAATCTATGGGTTGCTTAGGGCTTAAGCATCCAATTTAGGGTTTCCTTGTTAGATAACCCTAATAGCCTAACTATATATACATTCCTTATGACCCAAAAACGTGGAAAAGCATCCTGCTAGGGTTTCACACGTTTTAGGGCAGCCTTCATCCTCTTTCTTCTTCATCCTCTTGCTCTTGGTGTTTGTGAACCATTAGAGGAGTTACATTTGTGACTCTAAGCTTTCTAAAGTCAATACAAGGAGGAATTGGATTGTTATTGCTAGATAACAATCAAGGTAATGTCTTAAACCCATTCTTATGTTAGTACGATTACTTGTATGCTAGAATTAGGGTTTATTGTCTTGGTTAACTTGCATGTACAATAGAGAAACCTAGATCCAAGCATTAGGGTTTGTATGAGCACATAGGATGTTCTTATGACCAAAACCCATCAGTGGTATCAGATACTTGATTGGTTTCTATTGTATTGATGCTTTGTTTGTTTGTTCAAGCTTAAAAATCGAAATTTTGGGTTTCTGGGGGCTGAACTCGCCAAGTCTATAGATGAACTCGCCGAGTCCATGCTGACTCGACGAGTCCATGCCTGACTCGACGAGTCAGTTGGTTAGAAAGAGAGAAAAACGAGATTTCTTGCTGTTTTTGCTTGAGGATACTTGCCTTATCATATTAGATCAATATAAATCCGTTTTTTGATATATTTGAGTATATTCTTGATCTACTTGAAGATATTTATCAAGTAATAAAATATTTGTTTCATTATGTGATAATTGATTAATTATTTTGTGTGATACTTGACATGATGTCATCCACCCTAGAACGTTTCCGCCGTTCCGGTTTTGGGGTGTGACATTTTTGGGTCGACAAGCCAACAACTTTGCAAAGAGTTCGAATTAGTGATGACGAAGGGGTTCGTGATGAGTTCGCTTGGGGAAATGAAAACGTTTCTGGGGCTTCAGGCCCAAGAATCTTCAACCGAAATCCTTATTCACCAAGCCAAGTATGTGGATGATGTGTTGGAGAAGTTCGGGTTCCGATACGCGAAGCCTGCTCTTACACCCATGGCGGAAAGACCTCTTCTGGCACCTGATCTTGAAGGTGAATCCGTAGATCAGACACACTATCGATCAATGATCAGATCACTCATGTATCTGACTGCCAGTCGCCCAGACGTAATGTTTGCGGTCTGTCAATGTGCTCGCTACCAGGCTAATCCTAAACTCTCTCATTTACTTGCTGTTAAACGGATTTTTCGGTACCTCAAAGGTTGCCCAAAACTGGGTCTTTGGTATCCAAAAATCCAGAATTTGACATTTATGCTTTTACAGACAACAACTATGGCGGGTGTGAACTTGATAGAAAATCGACTTCATGAGGATGCCAATTTCTGGGAGATAGATTGGTTTCATTGTAGTGCAAGAAGCAGCATATTGTTTCCACCTCAACAACAGAAGAGGAGTATGTCGCCGCGTCTGCATGTTATTCTCAATTCATCTGGATCCAACATCAGCTGTTGAACTTTGGTTTGAATTTTCAAGAAACCCCTCTTTTCTGTGATAATGAAGCTGCGATCCAAATTGCCAAAAACCCGGTCCAACACTCAAAAACCAAGAACATCGACATCAAAATCCATTTTATCAGAGAATGTTATGAGCGTTCGCTCATTTGGCTAGAACAGGTCCGCTCTGATAATAATGTAGCAGATCTGTTCACCAAGTCATTTAACAAAGCTCAATTCGATGTGCTGGTTAATTTTCTGAAAATGATTCGTTTTGAGGATTAAATTCTTTAGTGTTTCCCTTAGGTTAAATTTGCGCATTTTTTTCTTTTCTTTTCCATGCACAAATTTAGGGGGAGAAAATTAGAAAATCCAAAAACATCAAAAAATTAGAAAATTCAAAAACATCGGAAAATTAGAAAATCCAAAAACATTAGATAATTAGAAAATCCAAAAACATTAGAAAATGTTAATTTTATATATATATATATATATATATATATATATATATATATATATATATATATATATATATAGATTTATGTGTTCCATGATATGATATGGGAAGTGATATTATCAAGTGATAACGGGCAATCTGAGTCTGTGTAAAGTACCAAAACTGGTTTGTCTAGGCGCTGTGTTCGATACGCTAGTAGGCACGAAGGATTTTAATGGACTTGACTAGGTGCAGATGAACTTAAGAAATCAAATGACTTGACAAATCTTGACCTAGATAGATCCGTTTAGCCTTAAAATACGACGCTCGGATAGGTTGAGCAGGGAGATATACATGAGAATCCATCAGTCACATTAAAGAACCCGTATCTAGAACTGTGGTTTTACTTTTCCTCGATGTACGGATTATGTCCTTAATTCCGGTATTGATGGGGCGACTGGGGAACTCCGATAAAGTAGGTATGTAGAAAATTATTTTCTTTCTTTCTTACTATCAGTCATATGTTTCCTCCTCTACGTGATTGGAAGAGATCCGACCTGGACTGCAACATATGCAAATCTATTTCTCTAAATATTATGTCTATGAAAATCTTCTTATCTGTTAGCCATATGTTGTCTCCTTTGTGTGATTAACAATCCGATCTAGTACACAACATATGCAACCTTCTACTTCTCAATCCCTCTAAAAACTATAGTTAATAATAATCTGAATCTATCATTTGTATGAATAATAGTCTGCTCACCTAAAGTAAGGAGTATCTCGGATGCTCTTCATTATTGGGGTATATTAGGAAGCGGGAAACATGTTCTAGTACATCTAAAATTGAACAATTATAGATTGTCTGTAGATCTTGCTGCTCAATTTAGGTGGACAACAATATCCTTGGTCGTCGTCAGATAGATGGTCCTTAGGTATTTTATATAGTAACATAGGGTCAATCTGTCTTGTCACTTATAGCATGTCCAAATTTATCACAAGATTTTTCGTGTATAAGTGGACCACAATATCGGCAATTGACCAGATCTATTCATGAAGGAGAAGGAACTGATAAATGAACAATGATTGTCTAACAACTTTGATCCCTCATCTCAAAAGGTTAAAAAAATTTATAGGATTAAAATTAAAATTTAATTTTTGTTGTTAATAATTATTTTCATTTTATTTTATTTTAGTCTATTCTATTTTTATTTTTATTTTTATTTTTTTATTTTTATTTTTATCTTAGTTGTAAGTTTACTTTTAGTTTTATTTTTTAAAAAATTCTTAGGAATAATAAATTTTAGTCCTTTAATCCTCAAAATGTTTTGTTTTATAAAAATCCTTGAGTATGGGTATCGGTTTTTAATTATTAAAAGATTGAGGGGGAGAAAATAAAAATTTATTAAGTATATAAAGGGTGTGTGCGGTGAGACTTTCATCGACATTATTTCCATACTCACTTTTCCTCAACCGCACACAACCCTCTCACACTCTCTCTCTAAAAACTCAATATTCCATCAAATCTCTTGAAATCAAAGCACTTTTGTGGTAACTCTCATATCGAAATTTTTTTGAAAACTCGTTCAATGTTTTCTGCTTAATTGAAGGAACAAATGTTTCATCCGCAAATGTGACCGCACACGGTGTGTGTGGCCGCACGCGGGCGTGTGCGGCTACACTAAGCGTGTGCGGCTGAGCGTATGTGGCTGCAGCTGCACACTTGCATGTGTGCGGCTGTGTGCACTTTCATGTGCGGTTGCACCATCTTCGCTATAATCAAAATTAGTTTTCCCCTAATGATTAATTGTGTTTTTTTTCATAGTAAGATGGAAGATATGGAATTTGCTAAGGTTCACAACTCTGCTATTTTCTTGAAGATCCTTCTGCCGCTGACAATGACTTAAAGTTCATTCTTGATGGTTTGAAGAAGTCTTTCCTGGTCCAAGCATTAACAACATGCCTTACAATTTACCAGAATCTGATCAAGGACTTCTGGAGAAGCGCAGTTGTAAAGAAGGATAACAAGGGTGAAAAGTTCATTGAAGCGACAATTGAAGGAAAGAAAGTTCAAGTATTAGAGAGTATCATTCGGGAATCTCCCAAATAGACGAAAAATCTAGATACTCAATGGAGATTAACATTCATCAGACCCAGGATATTTTAGACCACATGGGGTACGTGTTTGTGAGCTGTATTTCTGGTAGGAGATCCGGTGCAAATGAAATTTCCTTGGTTAACACTGGTGCAATCACAGCGTTGCCTGCAGGAATCGAGTTCAACTTCTCGAAGTTTATAATGCATGAACTAGTTCTAAATCTTGAGGGAATAAGAGAGATAAATTTTTGATGTACCTAAGATTTCTGCAAATCATCTTCAATGTTATGCATCCCGAGCTGCAAAGAGGAAACGAAACTTTGGATCTTAAATCCATTGGTCCAACTGCTTTCGGGCTAATGAAACAAAAGAGAGGTGGAAAATTCTTCTTTTAAGGAAATTTCCCCTTGATCAAGTTCGGAATTATTGAAGGAAATGATCAGCCGGAATCAGAAGATCAATCCATCCCTACGAAGCCTGAAGAATTGTGCATTCAACCTCTTAACCAGAATTTTAGGAAATTCATGATTCTCCTACAGCCATAGTGGTGGAGGAACATGATTATCATATGTAGGATGGACCTAAATCTACTCATGAGGATGATGATGGTGATCTTTATGGTGATGTAGAATTTTTGAAGGAAATTGACTTCACAGGGTTCAGTGATGATGTCCAGACAAACACTGAGCTTGATCTTAATGATGAAGAATTTGGTCCTCTTCCAGGATTCCTCAACAACTACCTTAATATAGTTAATGAAGTTGCCTCTTTGGCAACCAAGACGAGGGAAGAAGGAAATGCTCTCAAAATTCTGCTCTCCATGTCCAATCCCATGGAGGATGCATCAAGTCAAGGAGATGTGATGTCAGAGATTCCTACCTCTGTGTCAACTATCTCAACATCTGCTCCAATTATTCCTGATTCAGCTTAGCCCCACACCTATCAGTCTTCTATGGAAACAAGTCAATCAATTGTGAGTCTGGAGGTACCCATTGTTGGCAATGCACATGAAGTTTTCTCCACTGTCACTGCTACTACTGCTTACTCTCCAATACAAACTGATGAAGGCCCGAGTACTATGTTTGAGACAGGCGGCTCATCATCCATTCTAGAATATTCTCCCACCAGACCTTCATTAGATGAAGCTTTAATAAGACTGGCTAAACACCTAGCTCAACACAGCCCAACCTCTTCTCGTGGCAAAGGAATATCATTTAGAGAGGAGCACACAGGTGATGATAAATCTTCTTCATCTGATCTTCAAGAAGAAATTGGAGTGCTTCGACAGGAACTCATTGAGAAGACCATTCAGATGGATCAAATCACTTCTTACATTGAACAACTCAGAGCAAAGGATGAAGAGAAGACAAAACAGATTAAAGATCTACAGACGAATCTTGGTTCAGTGAGTGCTAGCTACTGCAATCTAAAGAACGTTTTGTATAACGCATTTGGTGAAAAAAGTCAAAGCCCTTTTTCAACAACCACACGGAATCGATGATCCTCCCACAGCCCTCACACAGTCTGTCTCTGAAGACTTTCCAGTCGATCCACCTGCTCCTAGAACAACCTCTATTGTCAAAAGATTTGAAAATGAGCCAGAAGGAAGCATAGCCCGAATAACAATCAAACAGGGAAAGAGAACTGTGACATTCCCAAAATCTCGGCCAGAAAAGACCGATTTTCATTTATGCTTTTAAAATAATTTCAGAGTAAATCCTTTTGATTTGAAAGAGTTGCGGAATTTGTTCCAAAAAACAAAACATGATAAAATAATATTTACCAAAGCATTTCATAAAAGAAATGTATTTTCATTATATAATCAAAGCTCGGGATGTCATGTTTCGATACGGACCATAAAGCATAAACGATAACATTACAAGTCATTCAACAAATATATACATATACAGACTTGTAAACAAAACAACTTGATGATTCATCCATCTTATGCCCTTTTTCCACTTCCAGTAATACAAATAAACTGAGTGGGTAAGGCTTGGGAGCCTGGTGAGCATATAGGGTTTTCAACCCACAATAAATAATTATATTTAATTCCACCAACAACAATAACCCAATTACCCATTCCCGTTATTCTCACTTTACATCCCTAAAACAACTAACACAAGGGACCTAGTCTTAGAATATTTCATCGGGGCGACAACACATGCGTTCGGGGGTTTCCTGGCAATATACGTCAAATAAGGCAACCATGAGGGGGATGGAGTACAGCGAATGAACACCCAAGTTCATTAACACCTACAGGTGGCGAACCTGCTAGCGTTCCACAAGACTGTCTAGAAAAGTATGTGGTCGTCATCTAAACTCTGCTAGATGACTGAATCAAAAACAACATCGAGGCCTCTCATCTGTTTATCACACGTCAACTATCTACTCATGTTCTACCCAACATATTAGTAGATAAAAATATATATTTTTATACATAGTTTAAAACCTGTATAGCATTCTCATTCAATACATATTCCAAAACAAACAGATGAGACACATACACATAACATGTATTTCATAGAGAATAAATCTTATCTATGAGATAGAAGAAAGTGAATATACATTCACGCATATTACAACAAAATATACACATAACACATATTTCGTATAAAATACTTCAGAATTATGCGTTAGAAGAAAGTAACCACACACTCACTTGATCAGAAGATGATCGAACAACACTACGACTTGTAGAAGTAGTATTCTTCGGCAGATCTGGAAGATCTTCACAAAAATTGAACTCCTCGCGGGCAAAGCTTCGGCTCGGGAATCGCACTTCTCGGGATCTTCGGGGCTTCGGGACTTGCTTCGTGGCTCGAGAATGATACCGGGGATTCAGGATAATTCTTGCACGAAAAACGCTGCAAAAACGCGAGAAAAAGGGAAGAAATGCGCAAAGAAGTCGGTTGCCCTCGACACCCTTTTATAGGGGCTGGAAGTTCGAATTACGCTGGGTGTAACATGAGATTACGCTGGGCGTAATGACAGTGGGGTCGCTCACTCCCCCCATGGATAATATCGGTTAATATATATTTAAATTAAATATCGAAAATATTTAATAAACTTCAAATATTCATATCTTCCTCATATGAAATCCATTTTCGATATTCTTTATATCCACGTGTAGGTGAGACTACGATCTACAACTTTCGTTTAGACTCCGTTGGCTAATTTTGATTTTATTTTTACTATTTATTTTTAGTAGGTTGGGATAGGAAAACTTCGTTATAAAATCATAACTTCTTCATCCGACGTCCGTTTTTGCCTACCCTTTCATCGTTTCACTACAATTAACGAGATATTCGATTCTCATTTAGATTGTTTCGGCTAAAAACCGCTCGGTCTCAAATCGAGTATTCCGGCTGCATACTTTTAAGTCGAAACTTCGAAAAATCATAACTTCCTGATACAAAGTCAGATTTGGGCGTTCTTTTTATGCACGCTCTCGGTTTAACGAACTCTACGAATTTCGTTTAGATAACTAAGGCTAAATATGGCTCTAACGTAAATTTCACTTTTTACGTCATTTAGCGTTGCCGGTTCTGTAGCAAAACTTCGACAGGTCATAACTTCTTCGTTATAACTCGGATTTCGGCATTGTTTATATCTTCGGAATCCTTGTTTCAACCACTACATATTTATGCAAAGATATTAGGATTATCCCACACTTAAAATTTGATGCTTATTTTATTCTTAATTCATTAAATTATAATAATTAAGAAAATAAACACATAATTCACATAATACTCAAATATTTCATCATTAATACTTCAAAAAGAGTTACATGGGTTAACCTACACTATTACATCAATGATAATGCGTAGCCTGGAAACGCGGGCGTTACAATTCTCTCCCCGTTAGGATGATTCCGTCCTCGGAATCACACATCAACAAACAAATGCGGATAGCGACTCAACATGTCACTCTCCGTTTCCCACATGAGATTTGGCCCATTCGAATGTTTCCAATGGACAAACACTAATTCGACCATTTTGTGTCGAAGCTTCTTAGTCTTTCGGTCAACAATTGCCTCTGGTTCTTCAATTAACCTCTTGTTTTCATCAATTCTCAATTCAGAAATTGGAATTATATCGAGAACTTCTCCTGTGAACTTCCTCAAATAACACACATGAAAAGTGTTGTGAATTCCATTCAGTTCTTTGGGTAATTCGAGCTTGTAAGCTTGGTTCCCAACCCTCTGAAGAAATTTAAACGGTCCAATAAACCTTGGACTCAACTTTTCCCTTTTACCAAATCTTATAAGTCCCTTCCACGGTGAGACTTTAAGCAAAACCGAATCTCCAACCTCAAAATTCATCGGTCTTCGCTTCTTGTTAGCATAGCTCTTTTGACGATCCTGAGCTGCTAATATTCTTTCCCTGATCACTTTCAACTTCTTAGCAGTTTGATGGACCATCTCGGGACTCATAAACTGCTTTTCCCCAGCTTCAAGCCAACAAGACGGCGTACAACACTTCTGTCCATACAAAGCTTAATAAGGTGCCATCTTTATGCTCGAGTGGAAACTATTATTGTAGGAAAATTCTACCAAAGGTAAATGTTCATCCCAATTACCTAGGAATTCCAGGGTGCATGCTCTTAGCATATCTTCAAGTGTTTGTATTGTTCTTTCACTCTGACCATCAGTCTACGGATGGTAAGTTGTACTTAAACACAACTTGGTACCCATTTCCTCTTGTAGACTTTTCCAAAACCTTGAGGTGAAACGGCTGTCACGATCTGACACAATCGTTAACGGGACACCGTGAAGCCTCACAATTTCCTTCACATAAGAATTTGCAAGCTTATTCATAGACCATTTCTCTTTGGCTGCTATGAAATGCGCACTCTTAGTGAATCGATCAACGACCACCCAAATCATGTCGTGACCACTTTTTGTTCTGGGTAGTTTAGTGACAAAATCCGTTGCAATGTCTTCCCATTTGCCCATACGAACAGGTAAAGGTTCTAAACTCCCATATGGTTTCTGATGTTGTGCCTTGACCCACGCACATGTCACACACTCCGCCGCGTACTTTGCAATATCAAGCTTCATCTTCGGCCACCAGTAATAGGTTTTCAGGTCCCTATACATTTTAGTGCTGCCTGGATGAATTGACTACATGGTTTTGTGAGCTTCTTCCATCATAAGATCTCTTATTCCTCTTGACTTAGGTACCCAAATACGATCTTGGAATACCTTCAGTCCATGACCATTTTGATGGGTTTTGGTCATAAGAACATCCTATGTGATCATACAAACCCTAATGGCTGGATCTAGATTTCTCTATTGTACATGCAAGTTATTCAAGACTATAAACCCTAATTTTAGCATTCAAGTAATCATATTAACATGCAATTAGGTTTAAGATCATACCTTGATTTTTATGTAGCAATAACAATCTCAATTCCTCCTTGTATTGACTTTAGAAAGCTTAAAGTCACAAATGTCACTCAATGGTTCACAAACACCATAAGCAAGAGGATGAAGAGGATAGAGGATGGAGGCTGCCCAAAACGTGTTCTAACCTTAGAAGAAGTCTTCCCCACGTTTTTGGGTCATAAGGGGTGTTTACATAGTGAGGCTATTAGGGTTATCTAACAAGGAAACCCTAATTTGGATGCTTAAGCCCTAAGCAACCCATAGACTCCTTTAATTAAGGCCTTGGACGATTTCCTTATGGGCTTCCCCATAGAATTCGTCCACTCCTTAGTATAAGACAATCCATGGCCCAAATTGCAATTATCTTATAATTACGATTCCAGTCCCTTAAGTTTAATTAATCTCTTTTAGTCACAAAACTAATTACCAATTAATTCTTGACTAATATTAATTAAACAATATGATTTCTCCTTTAATATATTATTCTCATAATACATTAATAAATCATATTTAATCCTTTCTCTCCATAATTCATCCTATCAAGTTGCTTTGGTGAAGGCAACCCAAAAGGACCATGCACCATCGGGTCAAGTACATACCAAAATAGTTATGGACTTAGACACTAATCCAACAGTCTCTCACTTGGATAAGTCTAATAACTATTTTGCGTATGACTTCAGATCCTGATCTGCAATCGTAGCTTTCCAAAGCCGCTGTCAACTATGATCCTATCAGATACATGTGTCCTTTAGATAAGGGATCATATATTCTTCCATTCTAGATATCGTAAGAAATGATTTCTAATCATTCTGTTTGTACTATTTCTCGATCTCCTATTTATAACGACTGACTAATTGAACAAATCAAATTAGCTCTATCCCGACCGAGCATTTACGTTTTGCATTACTAAATCATCGAGGGGCCTAAAGATATCACTTTTATCCTACTTGGGATAAAAGGAACGGATAAACTTTGATACAATACTTGCTTGTACTCACTCACCGAATCACACACAACAATATGTTTTATGACACCAAGTTACTGGTGCGTTTACATATTATCAATGTGCAACCGATTTGCAAGATACAACTCACACATCTCGGTTTCAAGAA